GATAGTACGTAAACGCGGACGGTTCCAACTTTTACCGGCCGGTACCGTACTATGATCTACGTATCCCTTTCCGTACAAGCCTACAAGGTACCGTACCTGGTACGGAAAGATGACGGCACAGTTTAGGAATAGTAAGGGCAGCAATACATTGGCGCAGTTCTGTTGGAAATCGCTACATTTTTCAACTGTCGCAGTTTTCGACTTTCCAATGGAACTGCGGGTTACATTGATCAGTTTTCCCCGCAGTTGAAACCTCGTGACCCCCCCCTACACGACGTGCTGCGGTACGCCAAATTTCAAATTGCTCAACCGTACGTACCTATTCTGCCGGTCTGTACTTTTTAGGGTACGGAATGCCTACGTGGAGGTTAAACCGGTGGCTACGGGGGATAGTCACAATCCAGGCCGATTTAAATCCAGGCCGATCCAGGCCGGACGATCCAGGCCGTTTAAAGTTTTGACCGGGTAACACCCTGACACCCCTGGTTACTGGTCACAGTGTTTCCAGCCTGGTTTTACCCTGCCCCCTTGGGGGCGAGGGCCCGTACAACCGGTCGCCTAGAATATCTTACTGGGCGCCTGACCCTGCGGCTATAAGCCGGCTTTATATGGTCATAAGCAGACAGTTTTCCATGCATTTGTTTTATGAAGTCTTGCTGCGGCCAAGCCCAGTTACAAATTACGGCCAAGGTTACGGTTACGGTTACAGTCACAGTCACAGTCACGGGTACACAGTTACAGAGTTACAGTTACAGTTACAGTTACAGTTACAGTTACTGTTACTGTTACTGTTACTGTTACAGTTACACTTACAGTTACCTTTACTGTCACAGCTGAACTTAACAAGTTAACTACAAGGCACAGAGTTTAAACTTCAACAGGTTACAATCACCGGTACAGTAACTGTACGAGTAACAGTCACAGTCTGCCGCAAAATCCTTACATAAGCTGTCAAGATAGGGCAGCCTATTTTCCAAGGCCAGGCATCGTATCCAGTTTCAACATCTCCTTGCCATCATCCCGGCAGGTCTGCCCGAAGCACTCGGTTTGCGAAGGCGTGCGGATGTCCGGCCCGCGCCCGGGACTCGGGAGGCCGGCTCAGCAGACACTGACAAAAATTTCAAACACACGTCAAACCGGAAATTCTAGCACCAACTCTGAACGGCCTGGATTGCCCGGAGATTCCGGGCCTGGATTTCAATCGGCCTGGATTGCTACTATCCCATCCAAGATCGTCCAAGGAACTGTAAAATGACTCCCAAAGGACCCCACCGAGGTCCTTTGGATCTCTAGCTCGCAGTTCCGTTGATCCCGGAAGATATGATCTGGAGGTCTGCTCCGCCGGGGGGCATAGGCCACATAACTGCGGCAGTTCCTGGTCAAGAGAGCAACTGTGCAATGTAAGCTGCAGTTCAGTTGGAATTGTTCGAAAATTCAACGGAACTGCGGCCAATGTATTGCTGCCCTAAGCCGTAGGAATAGTAAGCTCAAACCAAACACTAAAAACTTAACCTATAAAAACTACCCGCTCCGCTCCGCACCCGTACCCACCCTAACCCCCAAACTAACCCTACCCGTCCCAGGCTGGTGAGCTTACTATTCCTAAAGCTTACTATTCCTAAACTGTGTCGGCTCTACGGAAAGAGCACCGGCCGACTCAGCCTCCGAGGCCCGAATCGTTTTGGCGTTTTGGGCCTTTGGGCAGCTGGGCTGCTCAGTGCACAGTGCACACCGTGCGGCGTGCACTGGGGCCCGGGTGACGGGGCCGCAGCCGACTTCGAGCCTCGGCGGCCCAGCGTTCGACACGGAGGTTCGATTTTGTCGCGAACTGTACCTTATAGTTGAATCTTGATATCGACCGGTCGGCCTGTCTGTAAATCACCCGGGGGCGGGGAGTGAACCGAGTCCCCCCTTCCGATGAATGTTGTGGGCAGTGTGCACATCTGATGGCATTCATGGATTGATTGATCGATGCATTCATTGACCGGTGCCGGCTGCCGGTCGTGTCCTACCGGTACCCTATAGGGCCTATAGTAGGTACTAACTTATTGACTAGCCGCACCGGGAAATAGCCCCGACTACAGTGCGAAGGCTCCGGACAGGCCGAGTCTAACGTTGACGACATGCGTACGGATGTACGGATTCAGGAGCTGTCGTCGGGACAGAAAACTCGCCACTCGGTTGTCCGGGCCGACCATTACAAAATCTTCATGAGGACGTGACCGGTCACCAGATACGGGAAAAAAGAGGAAACGAGATTGCCCGGTGAATGAAGGTGGTTCCTGGGGGCGTTCACTGGCTGTTTGCGAAACCAACCGGGCTGCGCCTACTCTGGATCGTGACAGAGGTGAAGTTTGAACATCACTGATTCCGGCAGGGGAATTGGTCGTCGCAGTCATGTCAGATCATGCAGCAGCGAAAGTCACGCGGGAGGTCCGACCACTGCGTATTCCACTTGTACTGCTACCTACTTCAGTAGCCGTAGCGACATTCCCATTCACTTCTTGTTTCTAGGGCGTTGCGAAAAAAGCAAAATTAACCTTGAGCCTTGGTGCGATAAAGCGAAATCAAAAGAAATCTGGATTCAGCCTGACGTGGACAAGCAAAAACAGGCCTAAATCTTAAACAGCCTTATATTGGCTCTTGCGAAAAGTACTCATAAGCTGGTGCGAATTGTGACAGAGTTCGAATAAATCAATGGCACCAGGGTGGTGCGAATGGGAATGTCGGTACACGTCCTTACAACTCATGCGATCTCCGCAGATAGGGCAGACTACGACCGGCCCAAAGTTGTACATTTTGTTTTTGAGTACCTACGCTATACTCGTCGTGCTGGTGATCGATCATTCTGTTTGCGTACAAAGAAACGCCGCGCATGGGCCGGACTGTCCGGAGGCGTGCATTGCTAGGCACTGAAGCAGACAAGCAGTATCCTTGCACCGCTGCATTGAAGAACACAAACACATTGATAGCTTTACTAGTAGTTCTACTGTTTACAAAAGGCTTGTGAGCCCTTACAATCGGCTGATCACGAAGGTTGGTTTTTTGAGTTGACATAGAAAGTTGAAAAGAAGAACAAAGAATAGCAGCATTAGAAAGAAAGCACCAAGAAACCGGATTGCCATTCGAGTTGTAGCAAAAGCAGCGGAGTCGCCACCAATTCGCAAAGCAACCGCCCCCAAATTCTTTTGTGAGCTACCACCAGAAGCGGCGCACTTCTTCCCCTGGTTGCGAGGCAACGGAACGCAAGACGCCACCGTGCTTCAGGGGCAGCAGCTGCATTGCTTTACAAACTGAGAGACGAAGGCAAATACGGGGGCTTTGCCACTCATGAAAATGGAGTCGGCGCAATGGAAGTCGTCGGTGGTCACGCTCGCAGCGGTGAGCGTGGCCGCGATCGTCTCGCTCTTCCTGCTGTTCAACAAGGGGTCAGGCCCCAGCCAGTATTCCGCCTCTTGGATTATGACGACGCACCACAACTACTGGAACGGGGCCGGAGCGACAGCTGGCGGGCTCCACTACTGCAAGGCAAACCCGTTTATGATTCCTGAGCTGTTTGGAGACTATGAGGGGATTGTGCGAGCTGAGGAGGCAGCTTTGGAGTGGAGCAAGAATCTGTTGGCGATCGACGACAAGCTGTATGAGGGGATCCCCCATCTGACGGACAACACCATCTCGCTGCGCGAGAGCCACGAGCCGGGGGGCCACAAGAGGTTCAACAGCGTGCACCTGTGGGAGGCCAAGTGCTTGGAAATAGAGAGGTGAGGCTCTTGTCCAAATGTGCCCGATTACATCACCACATTTCTCCTTCTGGGATTTCTTTTGTCCTTGCAGCTTGCAGCTTATGATAGAGGTTACAATGGGTGAAATTTTTTATGCTAGTAGATTGCATTGCCAGGTAGGCTGCCTCAAGCTGTAACGAAGCTGGGAAAGGAAAGTTTGTTTGGAAGCTACAGGATGATCAGGCGCAATTGCAGTGTCTAGTATAAACCTGGTGCAATAGTGCATCAAGACTGAACAAGAAACTCTGGAGACATACTGCCCCTACCCGCGGCAGTGGTATCAATTGCTTTCTACTCTATGAATGTTTGCAGTAGATACCTCTTTCCAGCTCCTAACTTGCGTTTCCTAGAATCCAGCGCTTGTTGGATTTCGATACCGATGTGCTGCATTGTGAGGAGCTGATTGGTGGTCATGCATTTCCGTGTTTTGTAGCTGGAAGGCGCAAGATAATTGGAGCCTTTCTCAACTCATGTGACAAGCAGCTGTGCAACTTGTCTTAAATCTGCAGATTCAACTTCCAGTGGGACAACTTTCAATCAGAGTGTCTGACCAACAGAAAGCATTTTGTCACCTTTTTTGTTGAGACCAATCAGCCGAGTACTGATCACGGGGGCAGATTGTTATCACATCAAGCTCATTTCAAGGAGATGAACGTATCCAAAAACCGTTTCAAGATCTGCAAGAAGTCACATCAAGCTCCCATCCAGCTCAAAATTTCTGATATGGTACTGGAAGAAGTGGCCAAGGAAACGATGGCTGCACTAAGCAGCGAAGGCTGGAAGACTGCATCAATCATGCCTAAGCAGCAACAGATGTGAGTTGAGCTTCAGCTGATTCCAGATCAAAATCATTCATACTAAGAAACGAATCTCTTGTTGATACAGGATGGGCGGCGTGGAAGCGGTCAGTGGGGATGGCGGGAAGCTGCTGTGCGGAATTGACCGCATCATGGGCACGCAACCGGACTGCACCGTCTTCTCTCTGGGCAGCAACAACGACTTCTCCTTCGAGGACAGCATCGCAAAAACAACCAAGTGCCATGTACGTGGACTTACTGCTTCAGGATCATGGGGTCCGCATTATCTTATTCCCTTTGTTTGAATTATCGTGTGGAATGGGAGATTGTGGGATTTCAGGATCATGGGGTCCGCATTCTCTTATTCCCTTTGTTTGAAAGATCCTGAAAGTGAAAATGTGGGATTTTGAAAATACAAAACGAGTAGATGTAGAAATAGAGGATAAGAGGAAAGATCAGTGTTTTGGGAGGTCAGAGAATGACGCGCCGATTGTGCTGCGCGGTTTCCCGAGCTCGTCTTGTGTTGCTCCAATTCGTTGCAGCAATCCACAAGCGAGTGGGGGTGCCATTATCTAAGAAGCTTGATTGGCACAGCTTCACCCTGCAGTCAGTGCAATCCTTTCGATCAAGCGGTGTTGTTTTACTGTTTGAGCTCAATACATCAGCTTCGCTTCCGTTCAATACCATGTGGTACGTTTCCGTGTCGATTATTCCGAGCTGCACAAACAAACGCACTGTCGACTCGAGTATCCCTTCTAAACGGTTGTTTCTTTGCGCAGCTCCAAACGTTCGACTGCACCGTGCGCCAGCCCAGGGTGCCCGATGACATCAGCGACCGCGTCACGTTCCACCAGATCTGCCTGGGCACCGCAAAGGAAACGAAGGGCGAACTGGAGTTTATGTCGATCGTGGACGTTGCGGCTCTGCTGGGGCAGACCTCGCCGCCCAACTTGTTCAAGATGGATATCGAGGGCGGAGAATGGGACGTAAGTCCGTCAAACAATCAAAGATGTTTCGTGCCTTTCTTTGCCTTCGTTTGCCTCCAGTTGATTGGGTTACCATCGTCCCATCACGATTGCATGTGTTTCGCAGGAGGCAGGTCCGTGAAGAGGGAAGCCGTTTGTGATCTGAGCTGGTTATTGCTGGTCAGGAGCAAGTCCCACGAAAGAACTTGAGGAGACCTGGAAGTAGATTCTGCTTTATCGTGATCTTTGGATCTTGCGAGATAAGGAGAAGACCGTCGTTGTCCGCCATCGTCGCTCTCAAGAATGGTGCTCGTAATCTTTCGTGCAAGCAGCTGAGACGTTTGTTGAGCTGGTTGGTATCGAAGAGAAGGGCGGTGTAAACATTCCTCTTCAGGGTCTACACACGGAAATGCTCGATTTATCTCAACAGCACTCTTGTTCTCCTCTTGGAACCGAAGAGAGCACGCGCTCATATTGCACGCCTCGTTCTCGTGTTCCCAAACGGATCGGCTTCGAGATTTATGACGTCACGGAAAGCAACAACGGTGGAAAAGGTGCTTTCGTCAAATGGTCAGAAGTTGCGAATCCAGCACGCTCTCTGTTCAAGAAACTAATCTACAACCGTTTGTTTCTGCCAGGTCTTCCAGGACCTTCTGAGGTCCGAGAGCGCCCACCTGTTGCCTTACCAGCTGTCACTCGAGTTGCACTGGTGCATGAGCGGGAGGCGGAAGACCGTTGCCGACGTCGCTATGCTGATGCATCTGTTGTACGACGTCGGCTATCGCGTGATCTCCCGTGAGGACAACGTTCTTTGCGAGTGCTGCACGGAGCTGACCTTTATCCGAGCGTTCTGTTAGTATGTATTGGGAGCCGGGGGGCTCGCAAGAGAAGCGGGTTGAGATTGAAAAAGCCGTTTTCGGGGGCGCATAGTGGTGTCTTTCCTTTTGGGTCTTTGTATAGTATACTGTTTGGAGTTTAGTACTGAAGATGCTGACTACTTCGTGACGAGATTCGTAGGCCAAACGAACCGTGTGGTTATTTGCAAGCCAGGTGTTTGAAAGACTTGACGCCGGTGCGAAGCTCGACAGTTATGTCAAGAGCTGCGTGCGACACAAACCTGTACCGTCGATGTGGCAAACGTAATATAGCGGGACGCTTGCTGCTGCTAGGACTGATAGGAGAGCCGGATCTAAGATGCTGATCTGGTTCGAGTTGAAAACCTTTTTATACAAAGTTTTCCTTCTTGCCAGTAGGCCGCGTCTCTCGAGACAACTTCGAACGAGACTTTCACCTTCGCCAGTAAATTGTCAAAAACGTATACACGATCGAACAGGCCGTATGCAATTTCTTGCCCTCCGACGATAGCCTCCCTTTGCGGCGCTAAGTTGGAGACATGGTCACTTCTTTTAATACACGCTTAGACATCAGTCATTGCCTTTGCATACCAACTTACTGAACTTGGCCGCTTATTGTCGAGCATGCACGTCGGTCCGGCAATCCTGCACCGTCTGATCAGACGCTACCAGCCCAGAGTGCTTGATTCAACTTGTAGAGCACCTCTGTAACTCGTGTTGGCCCGGATTGATCATGGCTAGCTAGGGAACGGAACCAATTAAGAAGCGAAATCTACCGTCATATATTGCTGGGGCCGTGCCAGCCGAGGATGTTGATGCGGCCGGCCATGTGAGTGCCCGAGGAAGAGGGTTTGATCTGCCGCCGGGCCGCAGCTCAGGCCGGGGAGATCAATCCGGGTTAGGGTGGGCCGGTACCTAATATTAGGGCCAGGTGCGAAGCTACGCGCGTGCACTAATGTCTGGGCGGCCGGTTAGGAGTTTCAAATAGAGTACGTATCCGGGGCTATGGATCTCAGCACGCGGCACGTAACCAACTCAAGGGTAACTTGAGTTGTTACATTGTGGCAGCATCGTACATCGTTGTATTTTCCAACTTATATGACTTCTGGCCAGGGTCCGACCGTCACTGGTTGAAACGACGATGATTGTTCTCCTCCATGAAAAGATCCCCTAAGCTTTGAAGTACGGGGCAGGGGTTGTATTTATGGCCGGCATGCTGCATGTGTTTGATGCCCGCGCGGTCATTCAACTGTTCATTTTACCATTCTGCGGTCTAAATCCCTGCCGAGATCGTCGCGCCCGCCGCCTACTTAGTGCAATTCGAATTGTTGGACTAGATCTAGTCCAACAATTTTCTAGCCCGCGTAGCCTGGACTTGACGACGCAGTATTCAAGTTGCCGATAGACGTCCATGGATAGCCTGGTTGTGGCAAAGCTAGAACTGAACTAACGTTGCATGCCATGACAGATTCGGTCGGGTAGCTAGGCGTTCAAAACTCATTGAAAAATTGTATGCCATGGAAGCCTATGGCCCATGTGGCTACGGCGTTTTGAAAAAGAGCATCATTGAGCGTGTTGACCATCAACTTAAGAGTTGCCATTTCATAGAAAACCTTCTTCACTTGATAAAGGACGGTTACAAACATCAAGCCAACAAGCTCTAGCTTAGCTCCAGCTTGGAATCTGTATGTATGTGTCTCAAAGCGGGCCGCCACAGAATAGTCCGGCGACGCGACATTCTAGGAATGCAGAATTGAGTTGCTCGGGTCATATTGCTCATGACCATCCGACGTCTAGACGAAGGTCTCGTATTGACCAGGTTACTGGCTCTCTGGAAGCTGCTCTAGCATCAAAATGGCGACGTGTTTTACGAGCGGAGGTGGCGATGCGAGATATGTCTCTTTGCTGCCACGGTAGAAGGCAGCGTACTCGATTTTAGCGAATGCAAGCGTGCCCTAGACCCGGTCAAAAATAGTACTATGTAATTTGATGCACCTATCGTGTGTAGGCTGCGTCTCAGCCATTGGCTTTCGCCTGCTGTTCTCGCAGTCTTTGTCTGCCCTCAATGACCTGCAGTCGAACAAAAATGTCTTTGTATTGGTGGAGTGTATTAGTGGATCAATAACTCGAGTTCAAGCAAACCCCCGTTTGGCAGTCCACAGAAAGTGTTGCACGATGATCATGCAAGCGAGTAGCGTGAAAGGTGAGGACATGTTCGGAACGGCTGCCAACAGCGGTCTTTTGAGATTGGTCAGCATGACAATTGAAAGGTTTGCCTTAACCTCAGCAACGTCGGACTTCGCGCTCAAGAGACCATTAGCGGCTCATTGTACAGGCGACCCGCTCGAACTTGGATAACAAGCGGAAACGGATGTCAGAAGCCACTTCGAAAATATCTTCAGACGGGGGATCTATCTCGAAGTCGGTCAACTAAGATACGTCACGGCGCCAAGCGGAAACTGAATTACCCGCTCCAGAAACAAGTACAACAAGACAGAAGCGGGTAAATCCGACAACACGTGCAGCATCGCAAACGGCCACCAACGGAACGGGCCTGAACGGAACGGAACGGAACATGAGCTCACCAGCCTCCTGTGGTCGCCCATCACCTCGTCGATCAGTTCCCGTAGGAGCTTGTCTTTGTTCTTGGGCACGAGCGCCGCAAACACGGGCCGCCGCAGCTCTGCCGAGGGAAAATAGGAAGGGTCATGAGGGGTCCATCTTAAAATAAAATAAGATGAATCATCTTGGCGTTGCACTGGCCACCTTATCGTGCCCTGCTGTTTTCAAGGCGAGCCCCGTGGGAGTGATGCACGTGAAACCAGAACCAAACACTTTTGCAAAAAACTGGACGGCTGATCGAATCTGCGAATTAATGCTCCCGTTACTCCATCCAAGCGGTAGGGTCTGACAGCCTTCGCACGATGCAAATCAGCCAAGACTTCCACCAGGGAGGTAGAGAAGGAGAGGGGTGACTATCCAGTAAAAGCTGCTGAAAAAGCATCCGCGCAAAACAGAGCCAACCCCATTTACGGCGGAGAAGGAATTTATTTCAAAGACGCCTTCGTCCGCACTAACAACGAGACAGAACGCAACGAGACCTTCTGCCAGTGCGGAAGTCAGGCGCTTGATGACCATCGGTGGAGAGGGGTAGATCCGCAGCCAAAGTAGATACAACGGTCGGCGAAAAGGAAGAAGACAGCATAAAAGATCAGAATAATGAACTGCAGAGAAAGTGCTCCCCGACTCAAATGAGACTCATCTTCACCAGGATCCGTCCACACATTGCGCAGGGCTACGTCGAACCAAAAGGCTTAATGTGCAGCCGAAAGCGTCAGAACGAGATAAGTGGTACTTTCACGGATGTGTAGTGGAAACTCCTAGCGACTCGTTACGAGTTTCATGACAGAAAACTCTTCTGCCAAACAGCCAGCATTTAAGCCGTTCGATTGGGGAAAGGGCTCGCGGTTTTTCGCTTATCGGATGGTAAAAATCTACAAATTTGAAGTGAATGGAAGGAGAATGTTACAGAAACACCTGGTTGATTCAACGGAGGAAGGATGTCGGTTATCTGCTGCTGCCGTCACGGTTTCAATGATGCCGTCAATGTGACGGCCTACGCCAACTTTGATGAAGGCCCAAGGCGATCAATCAAATTGCAAGCACAGCAAGCGACTCATTGAAAGGGTAGAGACTGGATTGCACGATGACCACGCAAGACGACCAGGCAAGCAAGACGAGGCTGGCCACAGAAAGAAAACAGTGTCGAAAAGCACAAGATAGGAACACGATGCTTCATAGCATGGGCAGAAAACGAGACTCGAGTCAAGCAGCATATTCCTTGACCAGTGACGTGTCACAAGAACAGAGAGTGTGCATGGCAGGCAAGCACTCACTGCTCTTGCCGAATGCGTCCACCAGCATCATGAGCTCCTCCCCGGTTAGTCCGGAAATGAAGCACATCCGGGGGACGTCGACCGCCAGGTTTGGGGGGTTTTGAACTTGAACCCGCCCAAAGGCGTCCCATAGCGTCCCGTCTAGCATGTCTGAGGTCGCCTGAACAATCTGCGGAAATGCAGAGAAAGATTTTGGACACGTCAGGATCCGATATTGTGCGACCAGAAGATCTGACGACTGTGCTGGGAACAACCTACACCAGACAAGTGGGGTTTCTCGTGCGCAACGTTTTGCAGGGTACATGAGTCTCCGCCTAGCACAGAAGTTTCCTGAACCAAGGGAGTACCAGCAAAGCTACCGCACAGCCAACTCGACAACAAACTGACTGGAGTGGAAGAAAGGTGGCCACATGCATAAATAACCCAACGGCGAGCCCCTTGACGTTCTTCCCTGTCCTCTTAGCAGAGTGACGCATTCCTCTGTCCTCTTAGCAGAACCGGCGGTCAAAAAAGCATGACTATGACCGGCAAATTGATACCTCTTGATTGTCTCAAGGCCTTTAAGTCAGATGAGACCAGATTGCATGGGCTGCAAATCTTGCAAACCACTTACTTTCATAAAATCTCCACCGATCTCGTCGAGCAGGCCTTTTACGTCCTGCTTTTCTTCGGGAGTAAACCCGAATAGAAGTAAAGCCTGCGAGATAAAACAAATGAATAAAACTAAAAGTTGTCGAGTGACTTATTTATCGTGCCATGTCATGTGACGCTCATATTACGGTGGGCAAAAAAGTTTTTGACAGATTGATGCGAGCCTTTCTTCAGGCCTGAACGTTTGCACTAGCCCTGCTTTTCTTCCAAGTGCTATTATTCTGGTTTCTACTGCAAGCATTGCTCGTTCAGCATGAGATCTTGAGGTGGCGCCAGAAGCTTCATGAGTGACCAGCTTCTGCAGGATTTAATGGTATGCGAGTGCTTGTAGATAGTGATGTCTCATGTAATTCCCTAAGCAGGGCTTAAAAAGTGTGTGCTGTTGCTTGCTTTCATTTTTTTTGAAATGTCGGCAGCTCGACACCATGTGAAGCTGATATACCGCCGGGCGCCACTTCTAGTTTCGCAATTCCTTAAGGCACTACTCCAGGTAACACCCTCAGGCAAAGAACTTCTGGGACCAGACTCTTGCAGGACTGAAACGTCTAAGGGTGAAAACCCTGGGAGCGTTGAAAACCCTGGCAGATGCCGCCTTAATCATTCAATCGTCTTGACTTCTATAGCGGAGTCCAATGTTGTGGGGTCTTGCATTGCGGGATTATAAACAGTCATTGGCCACTGGTCAGAGCAGCAAAACAAGTGAATAGACTGACTACAAATAGTCAGAAAAGAAACAGTGCTGCCTTGAGTATAGTTTGAAAGATCAAGGGCTACAACCACAAAGTCTCCATACAAGGTTCAAATTCAGCAGCCAATAGTGCCACAACCACTGATCCATCGCTCGATAAAAATGAGAGCATTGTAATTTGGTCAGGCACTAAACCAGATTGGAAAAAGCAGCAAGCGAGCTGACCGCTGGGCCATATGCAGGGTCCCCCTGGTTGATCTTTGCAAACTTCCCGTCCTCATCATTTGCCAACTCCGGCGGGAGGTCTTCATCCCCAGCTGCATTGACTCTCACACTTCGAAGCCCATGGCTTCCTCTCAGAGCCTCTGCCCTTCTAGACAATCTCCCTGCTAAATTGCTGAGAGCTGATGTCGCGGGGTCATGTCGGCAAGCGGCTCGCTTACATGGGGCGATGATTGACTTGTGTATGGTGGGGGAAGAAAGAGAGGTGCTCTGTGCATGCAGATGGCAAGGAGCAGACCGGAGGCAGGAAGCGCTTGCCCGTCTTTGCACAACTGCTTCGCTGCATACAGGCCAAGACGGCACCGCCTGCGTGAGGGTGAATGCCATTGTCTCAAGAGCCGCAGAGCAGGTTTTCTTTTGCACAAGGCTCGTGCACGCTTCAAACAGCCTTTCTGAGTAGCACTCTAGCAGCAAAAACGCATCATACTATTCATAGACTGCGCTCTTCCTCCCTTTCACTGAACATTGAGTTTCACTTCCACTGTTTCAGAACTGTCTGCTCCGAAGATTGTTGCGGGTGGTCAATTGTGCTCATATGTATATTTCTTTTATGATATCCGCTTGAGTTTGAGTTGATTCTGTGACGACATGCAATGAAATCTTCATATGCTGTGGGTCACGGTTTCGTCAGGGTCAGGCTTCAGGGCTTCAGCACACCCTGGCCCAGCAACTACACACTGGCGACGCCAAAACCCGCGATATAGCGTATTTTAATAAGGAACATACGGACACGGCCTTTGTTGATGGTGTCACGTTATAGGCTATAGCTGTAATTGCAGCCTTGGAGCCACTGCAAACACCACACTGCATCGCATTGCTTCTGCAAGGGTCCTCGAGACTTCCAATTGGGGGCCCTGCAGTTGACCTCCTGCTGTTTTGGTCAAGTGAATCCCTCAAAAGGAGTCTTGTAGAGTGCAAGAGTCCTTCTTGCTATTGCTTGGAGGGCCCACTGCATAGAAAAGTGGTTGCATTGCTTGTTAGAGATTCGAGTTGTCCAGAAAGAGCGGCGGGCAAGTGGAACTTGCGATATCTCAAAGAGGACCATGAGTTCCGCAGCGGATACTGACAAAGAGGTATCCGAGACCTCAAAAGAATCTGCTCGCAAGGATGCCACCACACTAGCTGATCCAGCCCCGATCAAAAGCAGAAGCCATTTCGTCAGCTCTGCTGTAAAATTCAAGACGTACGATGGGGAGAGGTATGTGGACGTTTCAGGCTTCACAGGCCAATGGTTGCAAAGAGTATCTCAAGGCCAGCACGATTTTGAAGTATGGCCAGGATCATACTTCAAACTTGCAAATGAGGATGGAGAAAGCGGAACGGGGCGAATTGAAGTAGTTGAAGTGAGTATGGATTTTGGAAGACGAATTTCCAGCATTGCGGAAGTGCTGATTGTCAATGGAGGATTGAGGTTGTTGAGGAAAGTGATTGAGCGACAGTATGGACTAAGGAGACTTTACTCAAAGAAAGCTTCTACTTCTAGCATGATTGACTGTCTTGATTCAACGCTAGATCTTATCTTGCCATGGACTGAAGGGACCTCCCTGAGATCCTTATCTCAGCCACCACTTCTGAAATTCAGGCACCTTCAAATCCTTCTTCTTTCTCTACTCCCGGGCCCCAATCATCTGTTTCTTGCTCTGTGCTTTCAAGGTTGGAAAGATGGTGCTACTTTCTCAGCTCAAACCAGAACTCCCAAGGACTTAGCGACCCTGCGTGTGCAAGTGCCACCACAAAGATATCAATTTTCTGATGTGTTCAAAGGATCTGACATTGACCGTTCTTCGCCTGGCAGGTACTTGAGTGCCTTGTTCGATTTTCTGACAACGGATGCGCCGTAAGAGGAAAGAAGTTTCTGTCTGTTGCGGCCATTGCTGAAATGCATCCTCGGCTTCAAACGACCTTGCACCCAGCGGCTACGCTTGTGGACACTGAGGGGTTATGCATCATTTTGTTAGAATCCGTACAAGGTGCGTGCAAGTTTGATGTTGGGAGCCGCTGTTGTTCATGTCCGATCTAAATCTTCTATTGAGTGCTTTGGGAACAATCATGCTCTTATTACGAACCTTTGTTGCCCTCGATAAGATTGGTCGGACTAAAAACACTACCAGGAAACAACCCCATGTCTTTCTCTTAAGCATTCTCAGACCTCGTCGCTTTATAGTTTACGGCTATCCAGAACGCTTTGCTTCATGATTGGAGCAGTCTTGATGCTGTGGAAGAAGGTAGTATACGAAGCTATTGCAATGGGCATGTGAAGAACATGTGTCACACGGTGCCAGCAATCTTCGACGTTACCCATGGGACTGAAGCTTCGAGTTCGGAGAAAGGGGACAAATCAGAATATCTGCTTCCGAATCCTTTGCGTTCGTGTTTGTCCACTGTGATTGGAAACCATGGCCTTACCTTTGTCCTAGAGTGTCAACAGGGCACGCATCATCACCCCGCAACTTGCTCCCGCCTCTGTTCTCCAAAGGTCATCTCATTAAAGGCACAATTCCGCACCTGACAACTTTCTTCTCGATTCATTTCAAGGGAGGGCCGAGGTCTTTTACGATCAAGCCTCGTACGCTGTGTGGCAAAGGAGGTGGTATCGACCAACCCGCCACTTGTGCCTGCAAAGTCTTCGTATCGTAGACGAAACAGCTTCCCTTGAACCCGTAGAGATGACTCGAAAACGGGCTGCCGACTCTCAAATGTTTGGGGGCGACATCGGGGCGCTTCCGAGCTACAAAGGCTACCTAGACGTTCAGGCCTTGGAGGAGTTCTATGCAATGGCAGTCTCCAAAGCCGTCTTCAAACGAATGACCGACGTGCCGGGGTATAGAACATATGGAGCGTCTTGCTCCCTTTCGATGCCCGTCCCAATCTTTGGCAGACTGATCGAGATTCTTGGGAAAGTGGAGAAGGGAGCAAACTACATAAACGTCCGGGTGAGAGCTCTCTGTACCATCGAAGGAAGCTCGCAAGTGTAGAGCGTACGATGCAGTGTGATTGTTTGCCGTTGCCACATATGAGTTCTAGACGATTTGAGACCCTAAAGCTGATTGCAAAGAGAAGCTGCCTCCTTAAGTCCCATTGACGTCTTTACAGAACATCTCGTCACCAGAGGTATTGGACGTCTTTACAGAACATCTCGTCACCAGAGGTATTGGCTTCTTGATATCTTCAATTCATCTTTGCAACTCGAGACGAACCTCCCGTTTCTAGGACAGTACCGAGTTGGTCACATGTCCAGCGGCTTTTCAAGTTTAATTTCTCAGTCCCTGGCTATCTGCTGGGGGAAACCTGTGAAGGTTCAGGACCTGTTACTTGACGTCGACCTTTGATACTTTGCGTTTTCCAGGTAAACGACTTTGGACTGTTGAGATACGCACTCTTCCGCAATTGGCCCTGGCTAGCTGACAACTTCAAGGAGAATGGGCGCTTGGGGCTTACCTTTCCGTACAAGGACTTCGAGTTGGGTGGGTCAGTCAACCGAGCCCAGCCACTCAAGACTAGGTGAGTATGCGGCCGTTGCTCAAAGGAGCTTTCTCTTTTTCGGGGCTTCTTAAAGAAAGGTCATGTGCGGTTACATGAGCGGCAATTGAAGTCGTAGCATCCATCTTAAGACGATCCTGCGGGTTGTTGAGCATCGACGGCAGTTGCATTCGGCAGGATTTCTCGCTGTGCTTAAAAGTGTTCTATGCTGTGCGCATCTGGCATTGGGTAAAGAGGCCCTTCGACTAAAGCTCGAGCCTTTCAAGCAACGGGACCTTAAATAAGGGCTGCAAGCTTGAGTGGAAGGGGTTTGAGGAGGAATGGCTATTACATCAGGCCTTGCCGTCTCTATTATCCTCGGTGCTACGTCGTTTTTCCAAAGCGAACTTAGCATGCGTTCCTCGCTTTTGACACTGTAGCCCAAAAGTGGAAATGACGGAAGCGAACTCTTCTTACTGTGTGCTTGAAACTAGCCACGTTGAGGTCGCCTTCTTGAGTGTGGTGCAAACATCCAAGGCTCTAGGCCAAGTCACTCATGCCAATGTCTTGCATGTTTGCAGAGGGAGGATAACGTCGCCTTTTGACTTTCGCTTTCTTTGTAAAGCACCCTTACCCCAGCTCATTATTGCGTTTTCTTACGACGTTGAGCAACCAACCATACTCAACGGGAAATGGTGCCACTATCCTCGTTGTGGCCGCTTTAAGGGTGGCAGTGCGATCGAAGCTGAGATTATCGATGACGAACCGCAACAGGGTCAAAGTAGTGTGGATTAGCGTGCCATGTAATCCAGAACGATAGCCCAAAACATTGAATGAGAGCGCTCGTTCAATGTCGCACCCTTTCCAGCCAATCACGGTATTTGAAGCGAGGTCCACGTATCAACGTTGCATGAGTCAGCTCAACGATCAAACCATCCGCTGCATTAGTAAGAAAGAAAAAAGCACATTGCAGATGTTAAATCAGCTAGGAGCGCCGGGCGCGCAATCAGTACGCCTTCCAGGTCCGGTGCATTAGATGCATGCATATGCATGCCAGGTGCACTGTGTTAGTGCGCACACTATAACCGCGTTCAAATTGATAAGAGCGGCATATACTGATCGTGCATACTAACATACTATATGGGCCACGCTGTACTGCATGTAGCTCATGCATATCGTACATTCTGCATGCGTGCATAGACGTGCCCGGCATCTGCTGCAGCAGTACCATTATTGATGAAAGTTTCGTTGGATCGTCTGGGGAGCTTTCAGTGGCTATCGTCTTATAGCTGCAATTGAACTGTCAATTATTGTTGTGAGCTCAATGTATTGTATGAATACGATTTGTCTTTCGAGCTTTCAAAGACCATGTCCGGTGACATAAGCTCCGGACTTTTCGGGTACATGCCGAAGACCGTGCACTACATGGTTCCGTCGAACTACATTTACACTGACACATGCAGTACAAAGCTTGACGGCGGCACAATCACAGTCAGGAAGATTACTGCAAGGGTCATGTTACAGATGGTCGGAGTGGCCGAGTCTGTACAAATCATAGTGATGCTGCCGCAGTAGCATGACTTTGCACCCAACGTACTAGCGTCTGTACAGCAAACCCGGTGGCGCCACCTTTCTTCTCGTTCCAAACTGGGCCGGCAATATCCAGATGAGCCCAAGGGATCTTCTCGTCGACGAACTGCCACAAAAACATGGATCCAGTGTCAGGAGGCAACGAGCAATGACTGGGAGCAAAGTCTACATTACTTGCAATCGGCGTCCGGAAGGAAAGCTGTTTTCAAGGGGCACGAAGGCACCGAAAATGGACCTTGAATCGCTCCACGAAACTCCACGGATGGAACTATTGAGAAAGTCAAATTGCCTCCAGACGCCTATCTTGCTCCCTGAAACGAGTCCTGAAATACATCGAGAACGTAGAGGTTGGAAGTTGAAGGAACGCGAGTACGTACCTCTTTCAAAAACAAGCTAGCCGTGATGCTTCCCCCGGCTCGGCTACCCGTATTCACGAAGTCCGCGATTGGGCTCTTCAATTGCTCTTTGTACCTGGACATCAATAGGAAGCCGGTTTCAACAAATCTGAACTTGGTGGAATCACCGCTCCATGCAAATGAGTGTGTCTAACGGAGCCGGAAGCAGGGGTGAAAGTCAAAGCATCTTCGAATGGCCCGTATCCAGCTCTTACCAAATTTAGGCTGCGGAACATTTAGCTTGGTCAGCAGGTGGAGTGAGTGCTGAAAAGCGAAGCAATCGAATCTTCCAAAGTATGCAAAACGGCGTTGGCAACACTCAAGCGTGGCCGGATGCGAACAGACCCTGCTTTCAGCCTCTTTTTGGATCTTCGATATAGCTGCGAAGGACTGACGTCCGACTGTGCGTTGCGAGATTCTGTTTCTGAGATACTAGTAGCAACGTTCTTCGGATTATGAGCCTTTCCGGTCCCCACAGTTGTACACCAGACACAGGAGACGACTTGTCAAGTAACTATATTCAGGTGGACACCCGGAAACGTATGAGACTCCCCTGCTTTCGTATAAACAAGATTGAAAGGGACGAGCAAATTCAGGCGCGTTCGACAATTTAATGGTGTTCTGACAGACACGAAACGGCTCCCGTTTCTGGTGGGACGGAGACTCACGCTTCCTCCATCGGCATCCGCCAGAACTTTTCGCCCGCCGCTTTCGCGGCCGCCGAGAGCTCCTCGGCGACCGAGTCGAACGGAGTGAACAGCCCTGCACAGCATTTTATGACCGGGGTTTGTCGGGGTTGTAAGCGGTTAGGGTTAAGTTGTTAAGTTTCAGGCCCTGTAAGTTCTGAGTGTCCGCTGTCTAGCGCACTCCTCAGGGGCCGTCAATAATAAAGATCAGGCTTGTGAGTTCTGAGTGTCAGCTGTTCTTAACGCCCTCTTTAGGGGCCGACCATGAGAGAGCAGCATGCGATCTTGGTTGAATCTTCAGTCTTGGATCCGCCGCTTTGGCCATTAAGAACATGCACCACGTCAGAAACTACCGCCGCCAATAGTCGCTCCCACATTGGTCCTTCCTCAGAGCATCCACAGTCTGATGATGGTCATGGTCTGAAATTCTGCTGAAAGGTACAGGAGCCGTCGAGAGCTGTCGTCAGTTCCCAAATCTGATCCAAACGTCCGGAACCTCTTTCAGCGTTCGGCGCCGTGTTTCTGATTCCTAGCGATGAGGCTGACCGCAGAGCCACATACCTAAAGTATTGCAAGCCCCCACCTGTATCATTATTGAGATCAGAGACAGGTGGCGCTTGGGAAAAGTAGAAGCCCAGGACCGATGGCCTTAGTTGAGAGTTTACCGGATCCCCAATACAGCCGCTTTCGGACTTATTACCAGGCAGGGTGTCACTGCTTACCCGATCTCTGCAGTTGTAAGCGCAACATCTTCCACCATCTGCTCCGCTTTTTGCATCTCGCTTTCAAGCACGCAAGAATGTGCTTTCCACTTTTCGACGCCAGTGGTAATTCCTTGGGAGCGAGTAGGGGTTAGAGTGTAATCCGCTTTCAGTTCCTCAAAATCGTTCTTACCAGCAATGTCCCCTCCAAGCGCAACAATGCAGGCCCCCGTCAGCGTGGCCAGGTCCACAATAGCGTCCGGCTCCAGCTTGCACGCGTACACCAGGGCGTCCGCGAGCGTCAGCCGCCCCTCCGCGTCCGTGTTGTTCACCTGCGGATGGGATGACGTCAGCGTATTCAAAAACAAATGTGGAAATATTGGGGAAAGGATCAAAACGAATGCTTATAACGTGGTGTCCGCAAGCGTGGTCAGCCGCCCCTCAGCGTCCGTGTTGTTCACCTGCGGGCGGTGACGTCACCTGGCTTAGGAAACAAGGAAAAGGAAAGAATCCTGCTGATAAAGAGGCGTCTCGTGATTGTGAGCCGACGTTTCGTCTCAGACACCCATGCTAAGCATGTACGCTTTGGTCGCTTTTGCAGCACTGTCACTCGCGAGTTTGGCTGGTCTCATCAAACAATTCGGACCGTTTGTTGCCAACGACAGCCATCGGACGGCTCAAGCGATGCGGTCAGCTTAGGCTGCACAACTGAGGCGGACAAGCCAAAAAAATTGTGCAGTTAGCGGAAGAGGGTCGTGGCATCACCTCAATCGTCTTGCCGTTGGATGCGGTCAGGATGTCGCCCGGCCGCATGCCAGTTCCGCTGATCATGTTTTCGCACGCCGCCACGATGAAATGAACCTGCAACGCCAGGGAAAGTCATTACGGTGTAGTCGCCAAAAATGAAAGCTCGTTTCTTTTGACGCGGACGGCTGATCCACAACCAAGGGGCTCCCTCCTGTTTTGCAAACTGGACGACGCGGTATCAGATAGGTTTGTGGACACGTCCAGCGACGTGAGAAGAACAGTCGCCCAGTTCGTTCTCCCGTCCTAAAAAGGATCGGACTAGGATGATCTTGTCAAGATTGGTTCTCGATGCAAGCATGGCATAGACCTCACTGCGTCAGCTCCCAGAGAAGAACGGCGTCTGCTCAAACCTGCGTTTGGTCATCATGACATTCATTGTTCGACTATGTAACAGGCGACGAAAGCCATACATCCCGTATGTAAAGCTGGAATCTTTTGGGCGACCTAACATCAAAACTTTTCGAGGTGTTGCAACGCGTTCTGTTCGCTCACCTCCACTCCTTCTGGCTGTATCGCACCGATCGCTTTCGCAGCCCCGAGCGCGGCTCCCGCGCCGCCCATGTCGAACTTCATCTGCTCGATCATGGACCCGGGGCCGGCCTTCAGGTTGTAGCCCCCGGAGTCAAACGTCAGCCCTGTACGCGACAGCATCGACCTTAGTGTATCGAGATTACAGCTGTCAAATACCCTTCGGAGGTGCTCTCACAGCTGTCAGACACCCTTCTGAGGTGCAATGATATCACATGTCGCAATGTCCAGTACGTCATGCAGCTCGGGTGTAGTCCAACCTCGACGGTCTTATAGCGTGCGAAGCTGGAAGCTTTGTATCCGGAAGGGCCGACGAGATGAGACTATGCATCATTGTAATAGCAAGGAAAATTCAAACGAAAGATGGCAATGGAATAAAGCAGAGGAAGCAACAGGAGTCTAAAGAGGCTCAGTAACGGAGGATGGCCCCCAATGTTGGTATGCTTTCATAACGACCGACTCCGCCCACACCCTGCTAGAGTCACCCTTGGTAGATCGAGAGTGAGAGGCGCGCTATTCAAGGAACCCTCTAAGAGGTCGATTCCACCGAATCTATTGGCTGAGGGGGATCATAGAATCAGTGAATTTGGGACCGAGGCCCGGGACGCTGTTAGAACGGATGAAGTGGCGGGGATCCGCCTTTCGACTTAGAGCTTTCAATCCACGATTGGTCGAAAGAAGCCTAGCCAAGAGTTTCGCCCCGCCACGTCATCCCTTCTGACAGCATTCCCGGCCCCGGTCCCAGAGTTACTGATTTCCTTGACCCCGCTCTGGTTGGAAATGATGACAGACCACCTTCATTCCTCCATCTCTGTCGTTGCTAGATTGGAAAAAGTATAAGGGTCGACATACAACGGTTCGGGAATTTCTTCAGCACACTCACTTATCATGGCCTCAGACACTGCCTGTATCTGCCGTCCTTTGGTTCTTAGAACTGCTTTTTCCTTCTTTCCACAACCTTCTTCTCTTTCGTGTTTGGTCTACGGCAGACTCAGAGGGTTGTCTTTCAGTCTGACCCTTTCAGCGGCTGGATACATGTAAGGACGAACAGAACCTGCCAAAGAGGCCTGAATGCCACAGCGCATCACCGTTCTAACTAAACAACAGCCCACCTTACCTTTTCCTATGATGACCAGCTTCTTCTTGGGCTCCTTTTTGGGCTCCTCCTCGAACGGCGTATATGTTAGGTGGATGAACTTGGGCGGCAGCTCCGAGGCGGCCGACACGCCCAGATACGCGCCCATGCCTAGTTGCTCGCACTCCTCTTTCTCCAGGATCTTAACGGTCATGACGTCCGCATGCGCGGCGGCGATGTTCTCGGCGACCTCCGCCATCGCAGCTGCAGGAAAAAGTCGCTCAAGTTGGTACAGGTCAGAGTTCGTAGTAAAAGTGGGTTTGCAACTCAACTAGACGTCCAAGACGAGGGTTTGCAACTTAGATGGACGTCGAAGACGTTCGCAAAATGGTGGTGACTTTGTCGAGTAACAGCCAGGCTTGACACAGATCGATGCGCGCCCTGGGGGATCAAATAGAGCTGGTAAGAAAGCGCCAAAGATACCTTCCTTTACCGACAGGAAGGGGAAAAAGACTTGGTAATCTGCCTGGGAGTCTGGCTCAAAAGGTGTCGGTCAGCAACATCGTTTCGCTGACACGACGGGCCCTTCAAAACATTCACCCTGAATGGTGCCGTGGCGAGGGTGGCATCGCACCTTCGTGCTTTCTCGTACCTTGCCGTTCCGACATGAAGTACCAATGTTGCAAAAACAACGATCATTACCTCGCTTCACGAATTGATAGCTGACGACAGCAACAGACAACTTTTAGGTAGTGCAAGTCAGAGCCATCCAGCTGTTGTGGACGAACAACGCCGGAGCATACGCAGAACGCCTATGGGGTGCCACAAATCACAGAGCCACGGCTTCTGACAATCTTCATCCCAATTGGTTTGTATCCTGGAAACGCTCAAGATTCCCAGTTGTGATGAGCAAAAAGTTTTCTTCTTCCCCGTTTGACAATCCTGGCAAGGAAAGAATACAAATGACCGCTTGCCTGGCGTCAAGATATTCGGTGGCGCGTTCACCAGCTGCTTCGTAAGTATCACTCCCGCAGCGAGACGAGCGGCCACCCCGATGGCGCGCTTCAGTTCTTTGCTGGTTCCCAGGCCCAGAATGTCCACCTCCGCGAGCGTGATCGGCTTTGGTTCCGACTTGAACCGCTGGTCCTCGTACGATCCCAGTACTGCGCCGGCTGCAATGGCGCCGGCGATCTCGGGGTTTTGGTCGGAGCCCTCGCGGCCAACGACTGCGACCCCGGCCGAAAGGGCCTGCAAAGAATCAATGGGGAGAGTATCGGAGTTCTGTGCTCGGAGCCGTACTGCGAGGGGAAGGTGAGGGGAGAAGAAGGAGAGATGGCGCCAGCGATCTCGGGGTTTTGGTCGGATCCGTCGCGGCCCACTACTGCGACGCCAGCCGAAAAGGGCCT